GCATCTCACCTAGAAAGGAGGAGGACTCAGATTCCTCTTCAACTTCTCAACAGAAACAGTGAATGCAAGAAACAATGGAACAATGTTTTTCAATAAGTAAAAGAAAATATGTTTGAACCTAGAATAATCCTATCTCTAGACAACTGCCCTTCAAATTGGAAAACATAAAGCCAGGTATAGTGGTACATACCTACTACCCCAGCTACCCGGGAGGTTGAGGCAGGAAGATCCTTGGATCCAGGAGTTCGAGACCTGTGAGATCCGCCTCAAACAACAACAATAAAATTGAAGGTATAGTAGAAAGAATGTGGGGACACAGTTTTCAGGTAGTTTGCCATCAAAAGATCTACTTTTTGTAAAACATATTGGAGGAAAGATCTAAAGTTAAGAGAAACAAATTGCTATTGTGAATTATTAAGACTGTGAATTAAGAGGAACTAAGTATTTGATCAACGTGTACTATTTGAGATAACCCAGAATTTAAACTTTGCCCAACATCCGCATCAAAGAGGGCAGAAGAAGTAGGTCCCTGAAGACAGGAGGGTACTTTTCTTGGTAAGATAAAAATATAGATATTGGTAAATTTAAAGGTCAGTAAGAAAGAAAACATTAGAATAGATTCTAAAATAAAAGAATCAAAAATTAAAATGTACAATGTCTATAGTATCACAAAAGAATACTTGACCTATAAAATAGAAACCAGGAACAAAGAAAGAGAAGTTCAGTGTATCAAAAGTATCAGATACCAGAAATAAGGTCCTTTACGTGAGTATATGTGCCATTCATTACCTTCACCTACTCCGTAGCAAGTGCTTTTTCCTGGGTTTGAGAACAGAATGTTTAAAAATACACAACAATAAAGAAAAAAGTATCTTAAAATACAAGGATTATAAATTTATGGTCAGCAACTATGAAATAAAGAAAATTGGCAGAGTGATCTTAAGATCTGATAAATGAGAACGTAAGTCTAAAGCGACCAGAAGGGCCAGGAAATGACGTTGCACCCTGGTGGAGAAGTGGGAGCCGTGCACCTCTGGAACATGGGTCACGCCCTCGGTGTGTGGAGCCGCGGTGACCACACTGCTGGGGAGGCAGGGAAATGGGCCGCTGTGGCGGGGGATACTAGCACATCCTTCTTAAAGACGGATGAAACAAGAAGACAAAACCATAGATATCCCAGATGAAAAAAATATGACCGATAAGCTTGAGCTATAAAGAACATTGTGCTCAACTGAGAGAGCACACATGTTTAAATCCACATGTATAAATTTGCACACATAGACCAGCTATTCAGCTAAAAATGGATCAGTTACATACAGACTAAGTACTCTAGCATCGTGACAAAGGTAGAAATTACCAACACAGTGGTGGCTTTTAAAAAGGCCCTTTGCTTGGAAACTAAAAAAAATACTACTAAATAATCCTAAAGTTAAAAATAATTTGATGTTTAAAATTACATGGTCATGAAATCACCACACAGCAAAAACAATATGAGACATAGTAAAAGCATTACTTAGGAGGGAAGCATATAGAATTTCTAGCCTTGAATACGTTTAGGATGAAATGAAATTTAAAAAGCGGCAACAAAACTGAAGCAAAAAACAAAACAATGAAAATAAAGCTTAATTCAGTGAAACAGAAGACAAAAATACTAAAGAAAGTAAAAAAGACAAAAACTGGGTATGAAAACAACTCAGTTAACAACCTCTCTGGCCAGCAGTGAGACTTGGGAGCAAATGGGGGATTGCAGAAATGCAACATCTTTTTAAAAGATGGTTTTGAACAGTATTTGCCAATAAATATGCCGGGTGAGTATGAAAGAAAAATGCAAAATTTAACACAGGAAAGAGCAAGAAAAATAAACAAAGCAACAGGTATAAGATACCGCTTATGACCTCCCCTTCCAAGGCAAGAGGGCTTGGCGACTTTTCACTGTCAGGCTTTTATGGGAGACAATTTGCACACTATAAAGTGCACATATTTAAAGTGTATCACTCAATGCCTTTATAGTGCTGTGCAACCAGGGCCGTAGTCTAATCTTAGAACATTTTCACCACCCCAAAAGAAACTAAAAAACCACTTCTCATTTCTCTCCCCAAAACATACCCCACCTCTACCTCCAGCTGCAGGAATCCTGAGTCTGTGTTTGTCTTTGTAGATTTGTTTATTATAGACACATTATAAAGAAGATATATCATATGTGGGTTTTTTGTGACTAGCTTCCTCCAGTTGTTTTTAAGATGGATCTATATGTCTATATTTCTTTTTATTGCCAAATAGTATTCTATAAAGTAGATACATTACATTTCATTTTCCCATTCATTAGTTAATGGATGCTTGGGTTATTTTCACTTTCTGACTATTACAAATTATGAAGCTATGAACATTTATATACAAAATTTTATGTGAGCATATGTTTTTATTTCTCTTGAATAAGTAACTAAGATTACAACTGATGGATTGTCTTAGTTACTTTTCTCTCATTGCTGAGAGAAATACTCAAGCACAAATTTAAAGGGGGAAAGGTTTATTTAGCTCACAGTTTGTAGAGGTTTCAGGTCATAGCCAGCTGGCTCCAAAGGCAGGGTGGTGCATGGCAGGGGGCATCACAGAGGAAAACAGCTCATGGTGGGCAAAGGCAGGATGGGAGCAAAGCAGTGAAGAAGTGAGGAAAGAAGCAGTAAGTAACCACAAAAGCCCTCCGTCTGAGGCTGGGGATTTAGCTCAGTGGCATAAGCACCTGCCTTGCAAGCAGGCGGTCGTGAGTTTGATCCCCGGTGCCGAATGAAAAAAAAAAAAGCCCTCTGTCTGTCTCCTATGTTATTCCCAGTCTACACGCCTTTCGTGTGGGCAGCACTCACACCTGGGACGGGCCTTTCCGTTGTCCACACTGAGACCTATGTCAGACCAATCAGTGGGCCAGCTTAGTGACCACACACCCTTAACTCCAGCTTCCCACACTCTGGGTCCACCACCTCTGAAAAAGCCCCACCTAGGATCACATGAGGCTCTGTGGGGGACATGCAGACACATGCCGTAGTGGGGATCACGTAATAACCCTGTGTTTAATGTTTTCAGAAACTGCAGAGTTGTCAAGGTGGTTGCTAGTTTCCAACGTCAGTGCTACGTACATACAGAAAAGTTGTGATTATGTCAAAAAGCCAACAGTGCAAAAAGATGGTATTTGAAGAAAGTCAATATTCATTTATGAGTTACAAATAAAATATCTTTCAGAAACTTAGATAAGGGAAGGAAAGATCCTGAACTTAGCAAAAGTATATCTTTGAGTTTAGGAAAAATCAATGATCCTACTATCATGCCTACATTTTACCGTATTTATAGCCCTCATCTACTATAAAGAAAGGGGGGGAAAGTGGGAGGGAAGAGATAAGGCCTCATTGCATTTGATCTCATTGGTTATCTAAAAGTCAAATATGAGCCTGGTGTGGCTGTGCATGCCTGGACGCCAGTGCCCTGAGAGGCAGACGAGCAGAGCTGCAAGTTCGTGTTTAATGAAATTTAAAATTGTTTAAAGGGAAGAGGATAGTTCAGCACAAAGACCCTAGGTTCTACCTCCAGTACCACAAAATAATACTAAATGTCAAATACATATTAGAACGAGCTAGGTTTAATTATGTTGTTAAATATGACAATTCTATAAAAAAACAGCATTTTTCTATACCTGCGATATCCTAGTAGAAATTAAAATTTTAAGAACAAAATTTATAAGGAGGGCAACAACTTAAAGTAAGACAGTACAGCATTGTTTCCAGATCTTGGTTTCTAAACGCATTCTCCAAAAGGAAAGCCAGGCACCTTGGAGAAGGGCTGCTTCCGGGGCTGTGCATGGACAGAAAGGGTGCGCTGGCGTCCTCTGCAGGGTCGGACAGTGGAGAAGGGCTCAGAACTCCACGAGAGCGCACCAACCCAAACAGGAGCTATCTGCACGACTGGATCCGGAACACGCTGGGCAGCACAATAAATAATGGCTGTAATGGATTCTTTCTCATGCAATTAAATTAATGTTCACTCATTCATGCTGACATAAAATGTAATTGAATAAAGAAATCAATGGGGAATGTACAACTCTTCCTTATAGTAGAATCTCAATTAATAAATGTGGAAGGAATGATGGATATGTAAAGTCTCTATTTGGCAAACACTACTGTAAAATGTATTGAAGGCGAGGAATTAATGGATCCTAAAATTGATGGACAAAAGTATGATGAGAAGTAGTATTTTGTGTGCGTGTGATGCTAGGATTGACCCGAGTCTTGTACATGCCAGGCAAGAGCTCTACCACTGAGCCACGTCCCCAGCCCAGAGGAAGTATATTTACAAAGATTCAAATGCATCTCTCTACAATATGCTTACTAATTAAAAAGGGGAAAATAACACATTAACTCTCGGATGGGCAGGCACTATTCTAGTCTACAATTCAGAGTTATTGAAAGATATCAAAATGATGTATAGATCCCTTCATATGATATGAGTGTGTCACAGCAGGATGTACGCCTAGGCTTTCCAGATTAGTCAGATAACAATGTGGAATATCCAGCTTGATATGGATTTAAGACAGGTGCATATATGCTCCAAAAATATTTGGGTGTTGTGTACTTTATCTGTCCACCATGGTTATAGAGTACTCTTGCCACAAATGTACAACCTGAACTTAATCAAGAAGGAACATTAGACAACCTTCCTCCTGCAAAAAGGCAGTCTACAAAATAATAGTTTTTCCTTCTTCAGTTACTTCTGGAAGCAGTTAAATCAATGCAAAGAAACACTGAGAATGTACCCCAGATTGCTGGTGACTTGGAGGGCACAGCAATAAGTGCCAAGGTGCTGCTGGGTTGGGCCTTGGCCCACGGAGAAGTCACAAGTGGTAGATTTACGTGAAACTTGCAGAATGCTGTTAATTACTAGGTACAATGAATCCATGTTCATGAGCTGCTTCAATTCCTGTGCTGTTCATGAAATAACAACTCTCAGGGAAGGGAGTACGGGAGCATTTTTATTGTATTTTTGCAGCTTTTTCATAAGATTGGAAATGATTTCAAAATGAAGAGTTAAAAAGTAAAGTGAGTAAGCAATGACACTCCATTTTGTGTAGAATAACAATATTTTAGATGCTTTCAATTAGCTGCAAATTTATATATAAATCCTGTGTATATTAGTGAATCTAAATTCAAGCTGAATTCTCTTAAGAAACCTATGAAACAGTAAGTCAAAATGAAAGAAATATTCTTTGCTGAATATTAAGACAAAATCCCAAGTCTACCTTGAACGTGTTTGTTTGCTAGTTTGGGTGCACAGGATTGAGGACTTTGCACTGAACTATGTCCTTAGCTCTTTTCACCTTGTTAATTTTTTGAGACAGTCTTGCCAAATCACCCCGTCAGGGCTGGAACTTTCAATCTTACTGCTTCAGCCTCCCAGATAACCGGTATTACAGGCAGATCCCTGTTTTTATTAATATGAAAACAAGTCAAATGGTGGGAAAACCATTCTGATGTGTGTCCAGTGATCCTGAACCCACTGAGTCCTTCTGCACGCACACTTGGCCGAGCTACCCCGAAAAGCAGCTGAGCAGCCCCGAGACAGAGGGGCCCTGTTAATCAGGACTCACCAACTTGCTTGAGAAGACTGCTCACAAGTCCCCAGAGGAAGGACAGTAGCAATGTGGGATCCAGCCTGGAAGAAGGGAGAGGCTATTCTGCTAAGGACGGGGTTTTGGGGCACCCCAGTAGGAGGCAGGCACACTGACATAAGTACGTCGTCAGAATGAGCGGACCCCAGGTGCATGATCCTGATGAAACAAAATAAGCAGAGCAAAACACCTAGCACAATACCATTTACACTTATTTAAAAAACCACAAAACAAGATGATAATATCTGTCTCAAGAAGACAGATAAATCAAAAAGTACACATTAAATGCAATACTGTGACTGCCAGGAGTGGGGAGGGCTTAGGAATAAAGTGAGGGTAAAGGAGGATAAAGAACTGATGACATGCAGAAGAAGCCCTGCCTGCCTGGAGGAGGATGGAAAGATGTGACCTGAAGAGGACCACCGAATGAACTCCACGCGGAGAGGGAAGAGAAAACCAGGAAGGGACCAGGTACCAAACAAGGGCGCAAGTTGTATGACTTCAGGTCATGCGTCTCTCTGGGAAGCTTTAACACTGGGAGCAGGACTTGCTTTGCTCTCACACACAAATGCCCATTAAAATAAAAGCTTAAGAAAAGATGCTCTGTAGTACCTAGAATCCTCCCCCAGGAGGTTCTATTGTCTCTTGAAAAACCTCAAAGGATTTGTTCTCTTGGTTACCACATCCTGTTCACCCAAGAGATCTGACGGCGGATTCGAGGCTGCCGGCTGCCACTAACTCACATGCACTGCATTTTCTGTCCCATGCACCTAGCTTCTCATAAATGTACAATTTATGCGACACTCTGCTTGATTACTGCATCTTCGTGGAATTCTCCTTCACCAGCTATTGAAATCTCATGTGCATAATTAATAGGGGTTGCAAATTTTTGCATCAGTTTCTATCAGTGTGTACAGAAGGATGAGGCAAAGCATTGCAGGGAGAGGGTGGGACCACGCTCTTTGAGAAACAGCACTCTGAAAAGAGGCCACGCAGGAGACCACCACAAACTGTCGGAGAAATTTCCAGGTAGCGGCAAGGATGCATGTCTTAGCCCCGAGAGGAGGGCTCTGAGCGAATCACCCAAGGAGACTGCAAGGTCCTTTCCTGGGAGATCTTTAAGATGGTGGTGGAGACAGAGGAAGAAAATGATGCCAGTACTCTTGTTTTCCAAAGCTCCTCTTGCTGTGCGGGCAGCGCTGGGCCGTACATGCTATGTGAATTCATGTAGAGGATGAAAGCTGTAAAAATACAACAGAATTATTTTTAATAATTTAAATTCCCTTTATGTCCTGTGCTTTTTTACATTAACATCATGTAGAATTTGCTGAGGTATGTTTTCCTATGCTATAGAATTCAGGCCAATCTGCACATGTTGAGATTAATTGCATAGTTATAAGAACCATACTTGAGACTCAAGTACGGAGAGATGAAATAAAACAAAATTGTACACCACCCAGTCTCCTGGTTTTTGCAGCAGCCTCCTAGTTATTTATTTCCAGTGAACCTTTAGTTTCCTCCCCTGGTCCATTGTTAGCAATGGTGACAGCACAGAAAACCCCTAACACAAATTTTACCAGAAAGGGTGGGGGGGGGGGCTACAAAAGTAAAAGAATAGATTTGTAATCAAAGCCTTAAAAACAATAAGCACAAAAATGCAGTTCCAATCCTGAACAGCGACCCTGCCGCTTCACAGGAGCTGGCCTCTTCCTGAACCTTCCTGCTGCCGTCTCACCCTGAAACCCAATTAATCATGACAATTAAGGGAATAAATGCAGAGGTGTGCATGTACTTACTCTGTTCCCCCCGCCACCACCCCAGGAAGAAAAGCAAAGGTGTTGGGAGAGATGAGCCTAGGATGAGGAGGGGCCCCTGCTCATCCCCACCAGCCAGGCTGGGGAATCAGAGCCCTCCGTACCTGGATCTTGGCACATTTTAAACAAAAGAAAAACATGCTCTCCCCGTGAGCAGTTCTCTTTCCCGGGAAGATATTAAGGGGCGGGAGAAGCATGACCTCAGCTCGGCTCCCATTTGCTCAGAGATCTGGACTCCTGAGCGGCTTGGCCACTCTTCTCTACATTAGAATTGTGTCTGACCTCGGGCTCAGACTGGCCACCCATTCAGGGCAGCAGGGGTCCTGGGGCCAGGCCTTTCGCCTTCATGGGGACCACAGAGAGACCCTTAATGAAATATGACAAGCAGCACTGTTTTAATCCCTCCTTTGAGCTGGGTGCAGAATAAAAAGCAAGACGCACTCTGATTTCCTCACCAGCCCAGGAAGTGGCTACATGATTTTGACTTACGCCTTGTGTTTACCGTGTCCTGCAATTTGCTAGATAGGAAAAGCCCATCGACCCGATGCTGCAAAATAAGAACAGAGTGCATGTGAGCTGAACCCTCTGCCCCGGCTGCAGAAGTAGTCCTGACGGTTGCAGGGGCCGGGTGTGCAGAGAGGCTGTGCTGTGCAGGCCAGCACAGCTGCTGGACCCGTCCTCGCGGTGTGAGCCTTCTACTGCTTCTCTGCAGGAACCGGGACACACCTTCCCTTATTTCTAATCACAGTCCCCTTTTAACTCTGAAGTTGTCATAACACTATCTTATTTTTTTCCTTCTTAAAACTGCTTTCTTCAGTCACTTAACTATTCCAAAACATTACCCCAGGACCATTTCCCTAGATACTTAAATAGCCTGATTCATCACTTGCTCCTGCACACACCCCCACTGACACACACACACAAATACAATACATGCACACACAGCTGTGCACACATGCATGTATACATAGATACCTACACACAGAGACACCCATGTACACACACCCCTGCACTTCCATCAAAGTCGTGGCAGGAGTTGGGGTGGATTTGTAGAACCACACTGTTCTGTTTGCTGCTCTTCAAAATTTATTTAGTGATCTGTACGCAAATCATTCCTGGGCAGGTTTTTTGTTTTGTTCTGTTTCTTTTAGTTCAGGCGAGCCTTGAATTCACTATGTATTCCAGGCTGGCCTCGAACTCACAGCAATCCTCCTGCATAAGTGGAAAAGCAAGTGATCGTCCCTGGCCATGGGCAGGGATTCCTTAGGTCCAGGTTTATCATTAAAGGCCCTATGAAAAGCTGGGGACATTTGCTATCCCTGCCAAGTTCCAGAGCTCCTTCTCCTCCTGCTATGTTTACTGCTGTCCTGAAGTCCTTCCTGACTTCTTTCTACTAGTCAGACCTTGCACAGGGAGCACCAGGAGGGCAGTGAGCTGATGAACCAATTCACACCCAGCTGCTAATGGGCAGCAGTGGCTTGAGAGGCTGCCCTGCTCACCCAGCAGGGTGCTCCATTTCAAGAGTGTATGCCAGATAGAAGGCCTCTTTCATCCGAATGTTTAGCAACATCATTCCACAGATTGGTGGCAGAGTCAGCACTCCATTCCTGTACATAGGTCCACCATGCCCAGTCACAAAGCAGGAAAAAGAATACATACATTCTTTCAGTCACTCAACAAGCATTTCATGAACCCCTCTGTGTAATAAGCATAGGGAATAGAAAGAAAAAAAAGATACCTACGCTTGCCCTAAAGATCCTCTCAATCAAAAGAATGAAACCAAGGGATATACTGGAAAAAATAAATATCAAATTCCTAAACCAATGAAGTCTGGCCGCCTGCTGTGTTTCTGTGATTTCCACAGACTCACCCCACGAGAAGCCAAATCCCTCACACTTGTTATTTAAACTGATGCTTTCATGAGCCTGGTTTGTCTGATTTGCCTTGAAGGATTCTCCAACCCATGAGATAGTATATTCACCAGTGTGGCCAATTGTATCACCATCACCCGTCACCATGGGAAACGGGCAATACCTGGCCACAGCTGTTTCCCTGCTCAAGATGTCTGCGACAGAAGGCCGAAGGCTCTGCGATGAAGGGCTGAAGAGTCTACGCTGGAAAGTATAGACTCTTCAGCTTTCCAGTGTAGACTCCTCGACCTTTCATCCCAGAGCCTTCGGCCTTCTGTCGCGGACCCCTCAGCCTGCTGGTGCGGACTTGCACAAGACACTAGGGTGAACTCCAGACCTTGGACTGAATCCTTCGGCCTCCAGTGCATAGACACCCTCTGCACGCTTCCTCATCGGACTCTGTGACTGATGATCGTAAGCCAATCTTGTTGTTTCTGTGTATCCCGAGTTAATCTGTTCTTTCTAGTAAAACCCTGACCAATACAGTGGGTGTGTCCATGAAGCTTTATGAACTGGGAAGACAGATTCCAGGGTCGGGCATTTAAAAATCATTCAAGAGAGCCAGGCCAAATCATTTGTAAAATATATATATCCTGATGTATAAAGAGGTGAGCAAAAGCATTAAGCAAATGTTTAATATTTCAAGAGCTAATATTTTGTGTAGGGCCTATTGACCCTGCAGTAGCACTGTGATTTCTCATCATCTTTTTATATGCAAATGCACAAACACTAGAGCTCCTACACAATCACGCCGCTCAATCTGCACATTGTCTGAGGGCAGCCGTATAGAATAGGGCTAAAGTACTAAAATGGAAATCAGAAAATACAAGTTCTAGACCGAGATGTGTAATTAACCTCTTTGAGACTCAATTTCCATATCTTAAAAATAATGTTAGATTAATGATTGCTTAGGTACCTTTCAGTTCTAAAATGCAGTGACATAGAGCAGGATTTGACTATTTAAAATTAGCTTGGGCACCAGTAATTACTGCAGCTTTGCTTCTATGACACCATATGAATCATGGGCATATCGTTCATCTGGGCCACAACCTCCAACTAAAACATGCATGACAAGAGCATTCAGTAAACCACATGGAATTGCTTACATTTGATCGTTTTAAACTTAGCGAATGGAATTTCATGTCATCCAATTATTGCTTCTTTTAAACCCATCTATGCTAACTCAAGATTTCCAGATATACGATGATTTTTTTAACTAAGTGAAAACGTACAATGACCCTGAGAATAATATATGTGCTATAATGTCTCACAACTTTACACCTTAAAAGTGAACATAAAGTTTCTCTCCCCATATTCTCTTTTTTTTTTATATTTTTTTTTTTGTCTTTTTCCTTTTTATCGGTACCGAGGATTGAACTCATGACTGCCAGCTTGCAAGGCAGGCGCTTATGCCACTGAGCTAAATCCCCAGCCCCTCCCCATATTCTCTTGCTACTATAAAAACTGTACCACCATTTGCTGGGTGCTTTGTCATTTAAAGTAGCTCCTCACACAATTCCTCACAGTACCTCCAACAAATGGGAAGCCACGACACTGCAGTGTGACAAAGAGGAAACTGAGGCCAGGGGTATTTAGTCATCTGCCAAAGATATGGGGTAGAGTGGGGATTCAAACTCAAACAACAGGAGTACAGAGGCCTCGTTCTCTCCCCTCCCGCCAGATGTCCAAAATGAATATCAACAATTAAGAAAGAGTCACACGCAGGCTTAATGATCACTGAACAAGTTGAAATTGAGGGGGCCCGCATACAAATGCAATGAATGCGCATTCACGCGAGAGCTGCTCACACTGGCCGGATTGTCTTCCTTGGGGTCTTGTGTCCTCGAGTCCACAGAGCTCATGCCAGTGTAGATTCAAGGGCTGGTCACCTCCTGGGAATTGAGGCTCCCCTGTGAAAGCAATGTTTCATAAGCCCCCCAAACTTCTGCTTAGAGACTGGCTCTGAGACCCTGAGGCAGGTCTCACCTACTACCTAATGGCTTCCTGAAAATCTGTCAGCAGCATGGTACCTTGTCACAGGGGTGGTACCTTTCCTTGAGAAGAATGTGTGATCATTTAGTGAAAAGCTACCTTTTAGGAATGCAGAGTTGATCACATCCTGTCCCAACATTTCAGAGAGGCAAAGGGAGGTGTGAGGAGATGGATCCTGGCAATGGTTGTCACGCATAAATTACTTCATATAATAAAGCTGTCTCACAGGTTTCAACAAATATCAAAGGACACCCCACTGAGCTACATCTCTGTTTCCTTCTCCTTGATTTAATTTTACAGCAGTGTCTCACTAAGTCACCAGATTGCCCAGCCTGGGCTCAAATTTACAATCCTCCTGCTTCGGCATCCCATGGTCCACCAGCTTAATGCTTTTTGAGTTATATATATATATATATATATATTTTTTATAGTAATGAAATCTAGATTCAGTTGAAAAAGACAAATACTGGATGATTCTACCTTGTATTACAGTCAGAGAGACAGAACCAACAGAATTGGAGTATA